AAAGTTGAGGGCTTCTTTCTTGCTGTTATTTATCTACTGAGTACTAGTGGATTCAATCCGTCAACGACCCGAAGCCAGCAGCTGATTCACTGTGGCACTGATATGCCAAAGTGTGCTGAAGTTGTCAGCTGACTCTCGGCAGAATCACTCGGCAATGTACGCTGCCTAACTCTGTACAACTGAGCCCACCAGACAGTTCACTCGCACGAGGCTTGCTATCACTTCTGTTTATAGGGTCGCCGGCTTTACTGCGTTGCAAATAACGTCCCGACAACATGTCATTACATATTGTCAACACTGACAGTGCGCTTAGCTTATCTGTTGAGACTGTCAGCTGCTTTTCACTGTGCTGGCAAGCATTGGGTTCAAAGCGTTATCAAAAGCTGCTCTCCTGGCTACGCTATGCAACTGCATGGCATCAGCAAAACAGCATAAGTATACACCGTTTTGTGCTATCTGCGGAGCATTGGATGCCATTTAGGTTGTTGAAACACCGCTGCACTTTTGTAACAATTGGAAATATGTAGTATGTGTACAGTATGTGTTAGTACACTCACCTTCTTTCTTCAGCACTACACAACACACCACAAGTAATATCAGTAATATCACACACCACCCTGAGTTATATGTACACACAGGTACATACTATTACCCTAAAACAATCTCTGCACTATGGCGCTCATAAATTAGGTGGATCTTACACAGTCTTTTATGCATAGGAACAACCATGATTCCCAGTCTGCATCAATTACATCGCCACAAAATATGTAACAACTCTGTTATTCCTAGTCCATCTATTGCACAGGGAGGGTTACAATGGACGTTCCCACCAGCGAGAGGGGATGCATCGTTTTCGGGCTGTTGCATCGGAGTACAAAGGCTGACGGCACTGCATTTTTTGGATGGCTGTGCCCATTTACAACAGCCGGGAGGGGGAATATGGCGTTGCCCAGAAGACAGTGTGGGAAAAGTGCGTACTAACGAGCCCAGTAACCCATCTCGCTAGTGCAAACAACATGTACTATATCAAAGAAGAGTGTCGAACTGCCTTGGCTCCCTGCACCCTCTTTGCACAAGTTTTTGTGCTGTGCCAGGCATACGACAAGCGCATCCCATGAAGTCTTTCTCTACAATTACTCCGTCATCCCAACAATGACTGCAATGAAATTTTAATATTAATATTTAATATTACTATCAAATGCAAGCATCTGTACTATCATAATAATCATTAATTAGAATCTATATGTAGAACAGCCTCATTGGGAAAAAAAACACACATGTATTTGAACTTGAGAAGGCCTGCCTTTTGTTAAATAGCTGGTGCAAAAGCATTGCCTAGTTGTTCATTCATATTTAAGAGGAAAATGCACTATCAGTGAAGACTATAAAGTAAATCAAACTTGAGGCGCACTCAGAGCAAAACTAACCCAAAACCACACGGGTAACACAAAAAATCACAGGGCATAAAAAAAAACGTTTCCCTGTTATTAAAGCACTCATCCTTTTTAAACACCTTCACTCTAATCGCATCTTGTTTCCCACCTGCGTGAACAGTGTCCATAAGAGAAGTGTGCATTCGAAAAAAGTATGTCAAGCAGTCTACGTGTACTGAGAGCGGCTGCACAGCCACAACCAATATGATCATGCACAAGTGTCGGCATGGCAGGGTTGCATTATTTTCTACCAACCACAAACAAACGTATGCACAAGCAGACATGAAGGTAGGCATTCAGGACTGTGAATTTCCCATGCAGCCAATGCAAAAAGCTCTGCCAATTTGGAGGGTGACACCATATTTCAGATTCCAGAGTGACACCTCTAGCAGTGCAAGCAGAGAATAGAAGGTCACTTGGTCTCCTCCATGTTCTTTACTTTACTGCTAGCTTTTAATATTCAGAACACAAACCTCCAAATGAGCCATACCTTTATTTTTTTTTTCTATTTCAGCTAGCAACAATACAGTCCCAAAGCTTTCAAATCTTGGTAGATACATATTTGCTCAAAATTTCTTTCAAGTATGGCTGCACAGTGATACAACAGATGAAACACGTTCTTGGAAACATTTCGGCACGTACACAAGTGACGAAAAACCGAAAGGCAGGAAGACAAACGGCCTTCTGGCCTTTCGATTTTTCGTCTATTGTGTGCACGCCGAAATGTTTCCAAAAATGTCCTCAAACGAACTCGCCCAACTTTCCCTACTATTGCAGTGAAACAACACTTTTCAGACGTACAAATACGGATACTGTTGGAGGGAACACAGAAAACCCACAGGAGTGCTTGTGCCACCCCCTGTGTCTCGCAAAAACTTTTCGCGGGGGGGGGGGGGGGGGGCAATAAAACTATTACGCAGGGTGTCTGCACATTGAGTGCATCAAATTAGTGCACTCCAAACACCCAAGAAGCGTCCTTGAGTGCAACTCCTAGGGAGATTAGCCTAATGGCGATTTCCGCCAATGCTTTGGGGAATACGAATATGTCAGACGGTGATAACATGCATTTCGTAGTGAGGCTGGTAAGCAAACGCCCGCAGCCCTTGCTAGACGATGGCGAGCTCACAGAACCTATGCACGGTGACACAGACAGCAGCAGCGGACTAAGTGTGCTATGCAAACTCTACAATCTTTCTGGTACCCTATCACAAATTAGCACGAGAAAAAGCAGAAGTATGTAAACAGAGCAACATTAAAGGGATACTGAGCAAAAATGGGAAAAACTGACAGAACTTCGAAATTCGACTCGGAAGATGCCACTGTTCTGATAAACGGAGTCGATTTCCCATATTTTTGAACAGTTGGTTGTATGTTTGACGAATTGTCAGCACGCAGCGGCTGCTCGCGAGTGCAAGCCATGACATCGACTCACCGAAGCGCATACAGGATGCACGTGTTCTTGTCCTCCTCTTCCTTTTCTACACTTTTACTCTCAGCCCACTCTTCTCTTTCCACAAAAGCGCTGTTGCTCTGCCGCCAGCCGGAAGCACTGCTCACTGCTGTTGCTGTTCGCAGCGTGCAATTACTGGCATTGTTGGTTTGCTCGTTTCGGGCAAGTCTGACATCACTAAACGTCACCTTCTCTAGTTCACGAAGCCGCCACTATACGCATTAAATTCGTTATTTTCCCATAGTTTATGCTTGGAATGAAGGTTGTGTCTATTGGTTTCAGGATCCAATCTATCAATTTGGCTGAAAATATTGGCAGCAAAAGTTTTGTTCAGTATCCCTTTAAGTCGCCACAGTGCGACTATTAGGGAGCACGTTGTGTACCTGTACATCTGGCAACTAATTATCGTGCCGTCACTTAGTTCACGCAACTGGGGAAGGAATACAGATCTCATTAGTGGAGAGAGTCGGAAACGCTGATTTTCCAGAAGTCATAGCAAGCTCCAGCTCTCGTGCTACATCTCACAGTTGGATCTCTTAAAGTGGACTCCATTTCGATGCACCCGAAGCCACTTTTGAACTGTTAAGTTTACAAGAGCACATTGACATTTTTTGCAGCACTCTGTAGTTTCCCATTGACTGCATGTTTTCAGCGTAAACAGCACGGGGTGAATTGACATCCAGCGGCTCCGACCGTAAATTTGCCTGCATCCAGAAAACAGAGTTCCCCAATCTAGTGAACTGTGTTGACTACTTATGATAATGTCCATTAAGGCGCAGTAGTCTTCCAAATGCTGTATGATGGAAACTTGAATATCAAACTAAGAATATTGCATGTGCTCAATGGTCGATGCAGACTTTCAGAAAAACTGCAACAGGGTCTTTGGGCAACACAGTCACTTGACGCTTGAACGACGTCAGCTACGAAGTCATTCTCGATAGCGGTTACAATTCCAGTCGCCGGAAGATGTGCATGTTGGGCGCGTGAAATCGTACGTGTCCAGCAAACTCTCTCTCGTCATGTAGAAGCCAGTGAATACATGTGGACTTTTCTAAATAGAGCACCTGGGCTGCGCATCGCGACGACACATCTTTCGGAGGGAGGGAAATGCCACGTGCGTGCTACGGAGAAGACTGAGATAACGGCGCAGACGCACAGGTGCACCCTTGATACAAAAGGCAGTAACGAGAAAGAAGAATGCTTTGGCGCAAGGTAATAAAAAAACCGACCTGCTGTCGCTTTCTTTATCTGTTTAACACGACCCCTGTCTTCACTCAGGTGATATCTTACACGTGTTTCCAGTTTCCTGTGTGTGGGAATCATTAACACTTCATTCCAAAAAAAGAACAAAATGTCCTTTTTGCAATGCCTCAAGATTGTGTCAGTGTACTGGAATAAAACAACCAGGAGCGAGCATAACAAGATACAGTCAGCCTTGGCAAGCAAAACTCCACGAAGACATTCCCTTCACTGTTTCCCATGCAGTGACGACCAAACACACAACCTACAAGACGCAGTGTATAGGAGCTACTTACGAGACATCTGCAAAAGGCACTAGTGCGGCAGCCGCCGTAGCTGTGGTTGGGAGCAGTCGCCATTTTAGGAACACAACCGAGGTGCTTGGCCACTCGTGTGATATCTTTTGTCATGACTCGTGACATCAGACTGTCGCATGCCAGAACACAAAGGACCATGGCTACATTGGCCGGATGTAGGCATTCACTGGCACTACCTGGCAAGCCGAGCTCAGTGAATACCTTCTATTAGCAGCGACTCTTCTATTCACCTGCACTGCCATAACTGCTTGCAATGTATGCTCCGCTTTCATGTGGAGATCATGTGCTTGACAATATGGCCTTTCTTTCTTGCTTCAATTGCATTTCTCCATGCTCACTCCTAAGTTGTCCTTGCGCTATGGTAGTGTAAGAGGTGATGACAGTTATAGCGCGAGAACAGAACGACGACAAAGAGACAAGAAGGACACGAGCACCCGTGTCCTTGTCTCTTTGTTGTCGTTCTTTTCTCGCGCTATGACTACCGTCATGTCATACCAACTGGCCCAAACTGCCTGCCACACTTCTAACGTAGCGTAAGAGTGCACTACTTGACATAACTACCTGTGAAGACGGCGGGCGCTTCTCCGTCCGCAGCCGGCACAAAGTAGCAAACGTGACCCGAGGTGTGACAGGGGGTCAGAAGACATCGAACTGTCAGCTTGCCGACCTTCAGCTCCTGGTTGTCGGTGACGTGCTCCGTGAGACGTGGCACACGATCGTCGCCACCAAACACGCGCAGCTTGGGCGACTGCTCAAGCAGCCTGTCATTGCCCCCCGAGTGGTCCCAGTGGTGGTGCGTGGTGAGCACCGTGGTGAGCCGCACGTCAAGCTTGCTCACCTCGTCGAGCACCTTGGCCGGCTCGACTGGATCAACGACGGCGCACTCGCGTGTTGCATCGTCCACCAGCAGGTACATGTAGTTGTCCTCCAGCGCTTTCAGCACCTTCACCTGCATTGTGCGTCGGAGTGCCGGGCGGGGTGCCACCTGCAAGCATACGCAGGTGTGTAGTCAGGTCCGACCGGGAAGAATTTCAAAAAAAAAATGCATGAGCGAAAGCTCTAACAATGCATTGCTGGCAAAGGCGGAGCCATGTTTTGTTTCAGAACCATGCTTTTGTTGGACCTTTCCCCGCTAAGAGATACACTGGTTTCGTTCTGTTAATGCAAATGTAACCCTTTTCATGATTCACAAGTGAGCTTCTTTGCACTGCGTACTTGAACAGGTAATAGCGGCACATGTCGGGCTTCAAGTGGAGGCACGGTCCTAGTTCAACACACTAAGGCTTGTCTAATATGAATGTTCATACCAAGAAAGGAGACTTCATTTTCCATGTCATTGAGTAAGCAAAGTGCACTTGAACAGGCTATTTGCACTAAATGAGAAGCCGCCATTAGTTGTTCAAACTGCATAGCAGGAAATGTAACTTTACAATTTGAAAAGGGTCTATTATAATCTAACACATTGTTGTTCCTGGAGAAAGTAACCCATTGAGATGACTATTGATGACTTCATCACCAATAAAAGTCACCCGGACCTTGGGCCTTGTTAAAAAAACTTGTAACGCAAATGTACCCGTCGAGCGCTATCTGACTCAAAAACATTACCAATATTAAACTGGTATGGCATGCAAGTAAAAATCCGCTTTTTGTTTGCTGAACACGGGCGTTTTATCGTGCCGCTGCCAAGATGACGGATTTTTTGCTTCACTTTCGAAGTGTGGCAGCTTGGGCTAGTTGGTATGGCCTGACGATAGTTATAGCGCGAGAACTAAACGACGACACAGAGACAAGAAGGCACAGAGACTTCTTGTCTCTGTGCCTTCTTCTTGTCTCTGTGTCGTCGTTTAGTTCTCGCGCTATAACTATCTTCACTTTCGAGGCATAGCTCCCCCTCCTGCATTTTTTTACTTAGTCCTGCTTGGTTACAACCTAAGAAAAAATACAAGCTCCGCCCCCAGAAAAGCGACGTGCCCCCCTGCAGAGTTGATTTAGGTTATTCCCACTGACACGATAAGTGATTTTTGACTGCTAATGTCAAATACTACACATGCCCAGTTTTGTCGTCCATGCACTGACCTTTGCATATGGTTGAGCAGTGGCATCAGAATCACTACAATGTTTTAACAAGTTCAGGATCCCAGCTGAAACCATCAACAATGACATGCATGCGTACATAAAAATTACGTACCCAAAATACATGAAAGGTGCTTGATGTCATAGAAAGGAACAAACGCGATTGGATATCATATGCCCAGACCGGGAATACAAAATTTCAAGCTTGCAGGCACTGCCTTATGATTGGCTCCCTATCAAAGTTTTTTAACCTGGGGTGGCATCTGTCTCCTAAGTAACAGATATCTTTATGATAAACTTGCTAGCAAGAGAAAACAGACACAAGTAAGAAAACAGGCAGAACACCACAAGTGCTACGACCTCCGTATAATTCGGCAGACACTCATCTATCAGGCTGTCAGGCGGCTCCACAGTCACCTGGGAGCAGAGAACTCGGGCTGACTAGCGGGCTGCCTCGTCAGAACGAATGGGTGCACTGGGGTCCAAATTCGGCTAATTTTCCTGTTTAGACTGGCCAGAACCCTTGATGATTCAGGTGAGATCGTACACTCTTCGGAATTCCAGATGGCCATTTTGCTATCACTGATAACGAAATTGGCTTCCATTCCAACGCGAGTGCTATCGCACACCTTCAGCTGTGTCCGTGTCGCCGCTTCTGATGATGGTAGCCAATAGGGGGCACTTCAACTGTCAACCACGGCTGAAGTGCCCCCTATTGAAATTGAAGGGCAAGGATCAGAAACTTCAAAGAAAGCTAGAGGATGGGATGCGTAAGCTCCGAAAAGCCTCTGGGAGTGTGCATGTGACCATATGCACAGTCCCAGAGGTCTGGGGGCAGCCTCGTGGGATTGAAAGGAGGGTAGTGGAGGCCAATTGTGTGATCAAGGGTTTGAGCTGGCAACTCGGATACAGCGTTATGGAAGTTAACCAAGACGTGTACGAGCCCGGCGCTCGCCCCTTTGCACAGGATGGCATTCACTACAGTGGTGCGACGGGCAGGAGGGTCGGTAACAGAATGGGTCGCCAAGCCATAGCTTTTTTAGGGGGACCCAGAGCACTGAGGCCAACAGTGTAGCCAAAGACGGACCTAAAGGGGCACAAATATTCAAGCCACACGAAGTCCGTGAGAGAAGAAATTGACGTAAGCACAAGGGCCGAGCTAAGTCAGACGTAGGCCATATTAACATGCAGGGTGGCAGGAATAGGTTAAAGTGGGAAGAGATAGAAGAGCAATTGAGGCAGGAGGAGCTGATGGTATATGGGGTTGTGGAGACACATCTTCGGGACCTGGAGCAACCACCCTGCAATCCAGACTATGTATGGGAATATTGCAATAGAACAGAAGGCAGCAAAAAGGGGGGTGGAATTGGTGCATTTATACATAAGAGCATGGGTTGGCAAAGAATCAAGTAGGGATGCAAGGAACATTTATGGCTAAAAGGGAAAGTGGCAGGGCAAATGACACTCCTTGGTTTTGTGTACTTGTGGACGGGAGCAAAGGCCAGAAAGGAAAACCAGGCAATGGTAGAGTGTATATCAAATTACATTGAGGAGTTAGGAGGAGAGTGCGAGATAATTATACTAGGAGATATGAATGCACACGTAGAAGATATACATGGCTATACTGACTCAACAGACAAAATGCTCATGAATATGTGTGAAAGGCATGATTTGATCATTTGCAACAGTACCGAGAAGTGTGAAGGGCAAATACCATGGGAGGTAGGAAGGCTGCAGTCAAGGATAGATTACACACTGATGTCACATAGGATGCATGATAAGCTCAGGGGAATGCACATAGATGAAGGTGGCTCCAGAAGTCTGGGTAGTGATCACAAACGTATCAAGCTAAGTTTTCGAAGAGCAGCGAAAGTGAGAAGGAGACAAGATGAGCAACTACAGGAAAATTTTCATTCAGAAAGGCAAATAGAAATTGCTACTAAACAAATTGAGAAAGTAATCACTGAGGATAATAAAAATCTGTGGACATACACAAATCTAATTAGACTGTTTGGGCTAGAGCTTGCTAAGGCACGTGACAAGTCACCTCGGAAAAGAAGACACAAGCCCAAGAGTTGGTGGGATGAGGAAGTTAAGAGAGCCATAGCAAAACGTCAGGAAGCCTCTAGGGAACACAGACATGCTAAGCAGCGGGGTGAACCGACAGATGATGTTGAAAGAAAATGGGAAATCTTTCTAAGCTCTAGAAGTGAAGCATCCCTCCTGATCAATGAAAAGATTACAAGAAAGGGTACTCAGTGGCTGGCAGAAGTACATAAAAAGGACAGAAAGGCAGCTGTGAAATTTTGGAACCATCTAAACTCCCTAAGAAATAAAACAAACCTAGAGCAGAGGTTTATAACTACAGCTCAGGGTGCTAGGCTAGAAGGGGACGAAGCTATTGAATATATATGAACAAGGGTGACACAAAAATTTCAACAAAGAAGTGCCTTATGCACCACAATAGAAAGGGATGGATCAAGTGGCACAATGGCTCCATTTTCACAACGAGAGTGGGAAAGGGCTGAGAAAAGGGTTCCTAGTAGTACATCAACAGGCCCAGATGGCATTCCAATTAGGCTGATAAAAACATTAGGTCCGAAGTCTAAGCAGGCTTTGAGAGAGGCAGTGAGCACAATAATAATCGATGGTGAAGTTCCCGATGGATGGAAACTTAGCAGGATGAGCATGATCTGTAAAGGAAAGGGGGACAAAGCTGACATAAACAACTACCGTCCTATAACAGTGACATCAGTGGTCTACAGGCTGGTGATGCAGATTATAAAGGAAAGACTGCAGGCGTGGATAGAGGATGAGGGGGTGCTGGGGGAACTGCAGAATGGGTTTCGGAAACACAGGAGGTTGGAAGACAATCTGTTCTCACTGACGCAGTGCATCGAAATAGCAGAAAAGGAACACAGGCCCCTGTGGCTAGCATTTTTGGATATTAGGGGAGCGTACGATAGCGTGGTTCAAGAGGAATTGTGGGGAATACTGGACACACTAGGCGTGGAACATGTAGTCACTAATCTTTTAAAGGATATCTATAAAGGTAGTAAGGTAGTTATAAAGTGGGAAAAACAGGTACCCGAGCCCACAGAGGTGAAACGGGGACTTAGGCAGGGGTGTCCACCGTCATCCTTGTTATTCATGATGTACCTACAAGGATTAGAGACCAAATTAGAGGGAAGTGGACTTGGCTTCAACCTCTCTTTAGTCAAACAAGGAAAACTCATTGATCAGGCACTACCAGCATTAATGTACGCAGATGATATAGTGCTAATGGCCGACAACAAGGAAGATTTGCAGAGATTGATGGACATCTGCGGTAATGAGGGAGGTAGGTTAGATTTTAGATTGAGTAAGAAAAAATCAGCAGTCATGATTTTTAATGATAACGAAGGTAGTGAGCTTAGAATACAGGAGGTCACGCTAGAGATAACAGATAAATAAAAATATCTGGGCATATGAATAAGCAATGGGACCGAGTACCTAAGGGAACACGAAATATATGTGACAACTAAAGGTAACAGGAATGCAGCAGTGATGAAAAATAGGGCACTGTGGAATTACAATAGGTATGATGTTGTGAGAGGAATATGGAAAAAAGTCATGGTTCCTGGGCTGACGTTCGGCAATGCGGTCTTGAGCATGAGATCAGAAGTTCAAGCAAGATTAGAAATTAAGCAACGTGGAATAGGTAGGCTTGCCTTAGGAGCTCACGGGAATACACCAAATCAGGGAGTACAAGGTGATATGGGATGGACATCATTTGAAGGCAGGGAAGCTAGCAGCAAGATAAAATTTGAGAAGCGATTGAGAGAAATGGGGGAGGAGCGTTGGGCTAGGAAGGTTTTCAGTTACTTGTACATGAAGAGTGTCGATACAAAAGGGAGGAAGCGAGCCAGAAAATTGACTGGTAGATACTTAGAAAACAGCAGGTGGCCAAACCAAAAAGAACTATCGGTTAAGAAGAAAGTGAAGGAAACGGAGACTGACATGTGGAGAATTGGCATGATTAAGAAGTCCACACTAGAGATCTATTGAACTTTTAAGCAGGAAATTGCCAAAGAAAGGATCTATGATAATACTCGGGGTAGTTCTCTACTGTTTGAGGCGAGGACGGGAGTATTGCGAACCAAGACATATCGGGCCAAATACGAAGGGGTAGACACAGTATGCAGTGCGTGTGGAGAGGAAGAGGAAACTGCCGAACACTTGATAATGTTCTGTAAAGGGCTTCACCATATAGTTAGGGATGATGGCGCAGAGTTTTTCGAAGCACTGGGGTTTAGGGACAGGGAGGGAAAAATAGACTTTAAGCAGGTAGACTTTAAGCAGGTAGGAGGTTATCTGATTGGTGGCTAAAGTCAAGGCACGAGTGAGAATTAAACCCTTCACTGCAAAGTAAGAATTCTCAACCTCACTATTTAACGGAAAAAAAAAAGATAAATGTAATGTTTAGTTCACTAAGTATTACGGCTCGGTGGCGTTAGCCGCCGCCCGATCTAAAGGGTACAGCCACATCTATCTATCCATCCATCCATGGCTGAAGTGCCCCCTATTGAGGTGACCACAGTGGTACACTACCGACTTGCTGCCTATTGAGTCCGAGTGTCTTACTACGGCTTGTGCTCTCCTTCCCTCCTCTCTATGTTCAATATGGAGTGCACGTTACCAAGGAGGAGGGGGGGGGGGGGAGATGATCAGGTTTTTTTTTTTTTTTCTTTCTTTCTTTCGGCAGTCTTGCGGGACGTTTTACTTGCCTCGTGGTTTCCAAGCAGGCCTAGTGTGTCAAGGATAGCTCTGCCTTTGGTCCTTCACACCGATGATAGGACAGACGGATAAGTGCAAGCACTGCGGGACGATAGGAAGGCTCGACCACAAAATATGGGAGGGCAATAGCTCCCCAGAGGCTAAGCTGAACATAAATAGTGGAGAGGTACGAAAAGCCCCGCTGCGGTGCGAGGGCCCTGCTTCACAGCAGCAAACCAGCCAAATCCTCTTCGCCCGCTTTAATCGCGTAAAAGCCGGCCTCCGTAACCTAGGCCTGTGCGCCCGTAACGTGGAGTAGGGGGCTTACTTATCTCGCGGAACGTAAAACTTATCACCATCATCAACGTCAAACGTGATTGGACGCAACGTCTATGCTCATTCTCCCGTGGTGGGAGAGCGACAACGGAGTTAATACTTCGGTGGCGAACGACTACAAAAGACGGCAACGGGCGCGCTCCAGACTGCACTGACGATGTTTGCTGATTGCACCTGGTTGCCAAGGGTAGCATGCATGGTTTCCAAGGATTTAAGTGTGGGCTACACTTAGCATGCTTCGCAGACTACTTAGCACGCTAAAACGTGCTGTTGCAGGGTCTTACAGAAGTGTGTAGACCACTATACAAAGGATGCGCCTGCAGAGTTGCACAGCAGCAAAGCCTAGAACCTTCGTTCGTTGTTTATCGGAACTAATCTAATAAAGTACGGCGCCAAGACGAGCGCGCTAATTAAACGACGAAATGGTTAGTGGCGTACGCGCATTTGCAGCACAGCCTACGCTTCCCGTTGCAGTATCGCCGAGCAACACCTACAAGCAAGTGACACCACGTACTAAACCAACGACGATGTCAGTATTCGATTACTAAACTGGATAATCAGCCGCGCGATGCCAGTAACGCTAGTCCTCAAACGAAGAACGGTGAAAGGAAGAAACTTTCTCACGTAAAGGCGCTGGAAAAGATGGTTGCGACAGGCAGCAACAAGCTTGCTTCTGGTGAGGGTGGCTATTGACATGTAGGGAAAAGAAACTGAAAAAACGGCGATCACAGTTATACACGATCGCGAGCTAACGTGAGCCCAGAAGAATAAATCCAGCAAGTGGGCGTGACGTCAGGCAACTACTACTATCCATGGATTTAGTAAAACTTGTAATAACGTATGGAGAAGTAAACACATATTCCCCACTGAAGACGGTTAAGACGTAGGCTGCGAGCTTGGCAGTTGGCCGAAGATTTATTTTGACTGCCACCTTCAATTAAATACAGTAAGCGCTGTGACCGCTTCAGATAGCTGGAGGTATTCTGGAATAAGCGACGTCATGTTTCCCCCAAGCCACAGTTATAGCCTTGAAGATTCGTAGACAGTAGCACCTGCAGCGCCCTTGTTGCGGCGGTTAGTGGAGGCCTTAAGACTGCTTTATCTCGAAGGCCATGTATGCGTACTGCTTATTTATTGCCGTGGGACTTCTAAAAGCTGCGAAATTTACCAAAAATATGACGTTCACACTAACTGAAGCGTTAATCTTATTTAAACTGCATATTTGCGCGTGCTTTAACAGGCTGAGATAAATCTGCCTTTTCCGTGGAAACTCACTGATCAGTGTGGAAAGTGGGTCAACAGAGAATCTGGGTCAATCCCACAAAGTGGGTCAACCGAAAATCGCGTGACCTATTTTTATGGCGCTTGTTGCTTTCAGCAGGGACAGTGGAGTAGGAGCATCAGGATCTTTCAAAGACTGGTAAGTAAACCAGAGCACCAAGATCCCTACTATAAAAAATGATCGCAGTTCTGCTGAACCACAAATGCGCGATGTATCAGCTCACAGTGCTATAGAATCATATGCTTGTGAAGGTTTCGAAAGCGTTCTGCTTGTTCAATTTAAGATAACGTGGCCAACCAAACACAACGCATTGCTCTACTCCGTAGGGCCGGTCAATCAAAAGCAGGGGCATTGCCACAAATGTTTTTCACGGGGGGCGCGGGGGGGGGGGGGGCACTCCTTTGAAATGGACATTAATGTTCGCTCTTTATGCCATGGTGCACACACTGGTGATCACTTTGTCGGTACACAACTAGTGAACACATCAGCGTTATTCTGCACCGCGGTGCCTTGCATCAAGACACGTAATCAAGCACATCAGACAGACTGATCGAAGAGGACTCGAACGATCAAACGTTGTTTAGACCTTTTATTGGCCAATAAAAGCTCGCGCCCATTGAACTGGTCGAAATTTGTTGTCAGATATAAGAGGGTCAATTAGCTATAGGAGGAAATGAGATGACGAAACGCATGCTGAACTAGGGAATACGCGGTGAGTTATACGTACGTACAACGTGTACTCACAAATTCATGTTTTTATTGTCACTACAACAACAACAACAAGAAGATCTTGATTTTCCCTTTCAAAGAAGTCACAGTAAAGCCCTGGTATATGGAGGGCAGGACGTATAATTTATAACGGCATACTTCCACAAACAAGCATTGAATTTACTTCCAGCGAAACATATATAGATTTAAAGCTTAAATTACCGTTTTAAACACTGTCATTATGGCATACGCCTGAATTGGAGTCTTATTGAGTTGGTACGAAACGCGGTTACAGACAATATACTTAAACAGCATTGCGAAAATTAACCGTACAGGGTTCGAAAAAAAGTTTCTGGTGTATACGTACGTGGGATAGTCAGGCCTGGGAAATTTTGACTGACCCTGTACGTTAACTTCTTGCGCATTTATTTCCGTTTTGAACGTTTTTTTGGTTAGGGCACTTGCGGTGCTTGCAAAGCGATAAATGCCACAATTACAGTTTGTTAGCGCTACGAATTGCAAGTCAGCGAATTCGATTTAGGCTAAAACGCACTCACTTTTGGGATGACGCAGAGGCTGGAATTTCTATACCTTCTCTAGTGGTGATTGTACACTCAGCGCCCTCCGAAACAAAAATCGAACGAAAAAAAATTTGAAAAAAAAAAACTAGGAAGCCAGCCAGTGCAGCTGTGCGTGATGCATGCGCCTATGTCGTGCGTCGAGTGCGGATGTGCACCCGCCCAGCTGTGGCAGCTTTAATGAAGCCACGTAACAACTGATTGATCAGACCCATATCATTCATCAGAGGCGCATCGAACTTGCAGGGTAAAATGAAACACGAGGCAAAACTCGACATTTTAGGGCAGGGCCGTCGCCTGAAGTTACATTGGAGAGAGGGGCGTGGTCATGACTTTTTGCTTTTACTAGCAGAAAAAACTCCTTCATAGCATAAATAATGCTAATTTGTGCCCTCAGTGGTTTCACTCATTTGTTCTAATTAGTGATAGGTGGAGGACTACAAGCACTATAGTGAGGGGGGATGTGCTGACACAGAATTTGAGGTGGGGGGGGGGCGATCGCACTTATCGCCCTATCGATCCACCACTGGTTGTTAGAAGTAACTGTAATGTAAACGTGAAGGACGCGTAATTCGAAAGTCGCAGTTTCGGATCATGCAGGTGGCAAGTTATTTTTTTCGTCCACTTTTCGTTTCTTTTTTTTTCTTCACATTTACATTTCAATTACTTCTTGTCTCTTAGTTCTTAATAATATTGTGCATAAACAAACGAAGTAAAGAAAACAAGTAATAATTCGGCACGTACATTTAAGAAATGAGCATTAAAACACCAATGTATTGCTGTGTATTCGAATGTGGCGAGTTAAAAAAAGAATGTCACGCATGCAAGCGTACTAGAGTTGGTGCTTCGTTAGTACGGAACTGAAACCGAAAGCTGACGCTTTCTTACTCCGAATAAACGCAGCGCCATCGTCGAGAAAAAACACCATCACCGTGTGTTTCTATCTGCTCGTCAATGTAATCACACACCACGAGACGTGTTTCACGGTGGTTTAAACCCCACATATCAATCATGAGACGTGTTTGGAATTGATCGTGAACGCTTTAGAACGCTATACGCACTCAACGAGCAGACACCGACAGCTCAAAGCGTGTTGCAACTGCTTGACACCATCACTCCAGTTCTCGCAAGCTTTCAGAAGTCTGCTGCTTCAGAACGCAAGCGGCACCATCATGGCTTCACCATCGGCAAGATTTTGGGTGCATGGAACCACGCATACAAGTCAATGCAACGAATGTGCTCAATTGATTAAGACACGGATGTGACTCACCGTCTGCGATGTTAAGCACATAACTGCCGTTTTGTCGATGACATGAGTGGCATTTCTCTCCTTTCTCTCTCTCTCTCTAACTTTTATTCCCCTTATCCTCTCCCCAGTGCCAGGTAGCTTACCAAGCTCAGCCATGGTTAACCTCCCTGCCTTTCTATCATCCTTATTCTATCTCTGTGTGTGCCGGTCAAGGTCGGAATGTCACCGAAAATCCGTGTGTTTGGAATAAATGATTGACGATTTAGTGTGTTTAGAACAACCGTTTACAATTTCGAGTACCAGGCAATCCACTATATAAAAGCGGAAACTCTTAGGTAAACTGAAGACAACGTGTTAACTAGAACAAGTGTTTGGCGACTTAGAGTACTCTAATATGGGAGAGCGGAATGTTGTGTGTTTAGAAAAAGTGGTTAACGAGTTGGAGTACTTGGTACTCGACACTGCAAAATCTTATGCACCATTAAAGGTGTATTTTGTCCCATTGGCAACCCCCCTTTTATCTGTTTAGAAACACCCTAAAACGTAGGGTGTAAGGAGGCGTTACACCATACCTTTGCAGTTTATGAACACCCCTAAACTATGAGTGTGAGATCAAGCTACACCCGTGTGAGTGGGGGGTAACACATAAAAACGCCCTTGAAACGATGCCACTCAAGTGTATAAGCGTACTTGATCAAATGAAGCGCAATTAATGGGAAACAAATGGAGAGACACACAGGGGGAAACGATTCGTCCTGTGTGTCACCTCATTTGTTGTCCCTTTCTTGGTACTCCACTCCAAGAAATATGCATCACCAAGTGGCCCAAGCCGCAACTGTTCTATAGAAAAGCGGAGACACAGGACTAACCATTTCCTCCTGTGTGTCTCTCCTTTTGGTGTCCCGTTAATTGCGCTTCATTTAGTCAAGTATACCTATACTACATCTAACTGACATCGTTTCATGGGTGTTTTTATTTGTTGCACCCCCTCGCACGGGTGTAGCTTGACCTAACACACGTAGTTCATGGTGTTCATAAACACCTATAATTGTAGAGTGTAACGTCTTGTTACACCCTTGTTTATAGGGTGTTTCTAAACACTCTAAAAAGGTGTTGCCCATGAGACAAAAATACACCTCCTGAAGGGTGTGAAAATGGTTGCAGTGATACTATGGGAGAGCGTAAAGCCGTCCCGCGTGGGCTAAGGACAAACACGGTTTCCTCGTATTGTACAATCAAGTAATCTTGCAGGTCATCGTTCTAATAAAACGCACGGCTTTTAATTCTCATGGAGACTCACATTAGTGTCACTGGTTTCAAGTAATCTATACTAGAGAATCCCGAAAAATGTCATTGTCATTCTGACAACATGGCTCAGCCAGATAAAATTTTTTTATGTTGTAACGACGAACTTTAAACTCGCCATATGCACATTGTTTATATTGACTGATACAAAGTACTTGGGGTGTGAGCGGAAACTAGCTCTCACAGTGGTGTTTTCCGGGTGAAGGGCAGGAACATTGCGGTCATGGAGGAAGGAATAAACTTCCCTTCCTGTATACATGGTTGCGGTTCCACGGGCGTTCCTGCCATTTTTCTCCCGTTTTACTCTCTTATTTCCTTTCCCCCTTCCCCCACAAGGCACTGCGCCGCGCCGCCCAAGAAGCAGACTGAAATTAGGTGCCTTCTTCCCTCCTTTCTAGAATCACTCAATCAACGCTGCAGTCGAGTGGATCAGCGACGTTACACACAACACCCAAGAATTCATATTCCGAGACCTGAAGATTCCCTATTTCGGGAAGTTTTTCTCTGCACACGCTGACGAAATTCCCAATATATTTCTCTGCAGAGAGGGTCACGTTCTGGTAGGCTTGGTGCCTTGACGTATAGTATACGAGGGATGATTGGTCAGCTGTCAGCTTGTGACGAGATCACGTGCTTCGTGACGCCAAACAGGCAGAAAAAGACAGTTCCATACCCGCCGTCAT